GAAAAAAGAATAAGACTCAATTTAAGAATAAAATGAATAGCAGCTTCAGTAGTACAAACACAGGCTTTTAAGATAATGATAGTATATTTACTATGAGAAAGACATATACTTTCTTATACTTCTGTCATTGTCCCCTGGATGATTTAGTAAGATATCTGAAGCTTGGGGAATGAAGGGTTGTACAATTCTGAATATATATAAACCCTGGTTAAGTGTATATATAACGCCCAGGTAATGGTTGTCAGTATGCTGATAATACGTTGGTAATACTGTTGGCAGATTGGTATTAACCTAAGTGTGTCCTGGCCTATTTATCAGCCAGTCAGTGTCTTCTTATTTTCACTTCTGATTTCAACAACAGATCTGTGGTGTGGGGGGGAAAAATAGATTCTGCTCTCAAAAATATGCCAGAAAAATATACTGAGTGCATATTGTCGAGATCCCAAGCACTTTATGGGATTATTTGAGAAACACAGTATGTTTGGTGTTGTATCTAATAAGTAACTTGTATAGTACTTAGGGAGAATAGGCTCTGGAGCCAGCCTGCCTGGGTTCAGATACTGGCTCTGCCCCTTTTGAGTTCTGTGACCTTGGCAATTTATTTAACTTCTTTATTGTTTTTCATCTGTAAAATGTTTCTCATCTGTAAAATGGGTATAATAATAGTACCTATTTCTTAGAGTTGCTGTGAAGATTAGATGAGTTAATACATGTAAAGTGGTTAGCACAGTGCCTCGAATATAATGTGTTCAATAATAGTAATTAATTCAAAGCCCGGCGCCGGGTGGCCTCACGCCTGTAATCCCCTAACTTCTCTGGGAGGCCCGCAGGCTAGGCTCGACCTTCGCTCCGGGCTCCGCCGCGAGTTCGAACCAGCCTGAGCAAGAGCGAGCCCCGTCTCCTCACTATAAATAGAAAGAAACTAATTGGCCAACTAATATCATATCGAAAAAATTAGCGGCGCATGGTGGCTCATGCCTGTAGTCCAGCTACTTGGGAGGCTGAGACAGAAGGATCGCTTGAGCCCAGGAGTTTGAGGTTGCTGTGAGCTAGGCTGACGCCACGGCACTCACTCTAGCCTGGGCAACAAAGCGAGACTCTGTCTCAAAAAAAAAATAAAAATAAAATAAAATAAAATAAAATAAAAATATTAGGTATTATTGAGTTTTATTTTTTTGCTTTTGTTCCTTCACTTTTTATTATGGAAAATTGCAAACATATCCAAAAACAGAGACTTCCTGTACAATAAACCCCAATGTACTCATCAAAAATAACTAAAGTATGCTTGGGATCCTGGAATGGGCAAAGAATACGTTTTGGAGGAGAGAGTAGAGTATTGAAGCTGTGCCATAAGAAAGGCTGTGACGGCCGGGCGCAGTGGCTTACACCTGTAATCCTAACACTCTGGGAGGCAGAGGCAGGCAGATCTCTTAAGGTCAGGAGTTTGAAACCAACCTGAGCAAGAGTGAGACCCCCGTCTCTACTAAAAATAGAAACAAATTATTGGCAACTAAAATACATAGAAAAAAATTAGCCAGGTATGGTGGCACATGCGCTGTAGTCCAGGTACCAGGAGGCTAAGGCAGAAGGATTCGCTTCACGCTTAGGGTTTAGCGTTGCTCGTGAGGCGAGGCTCGACGCCCGGCACTCTACCCCTGGCAACAGAGTGAGACTCTGCCTCAAACAAAGAACACAAAAAAGAAAAAAAAGAATGGGTGTAACTAGACCAGAGATTAAGGAAACAAGGGTTTCCATATTTTATTCCCCCACACCCACTCCTGGATGATAAGGAGAAGGAAAATGAGGGAGAAAAGACATTCTTTTTCACGCTATTTCTGGGGAAACTACCCAAAGAAACCTTTGGATAGCAGTTTCTATAAATCATGAATCCTGCAATCCCCAATACACAGAAGAAACCTCATTGCTTACATTTTTAAGTCTGCACAGTATTTCACCCTACAGATATATCGAGTTTTATTCTATGGTTCCTAGAGTTCCCCAAGGGTTGTTTCCACACTTTTGCATTTATAGTGCTGCATGGAACATTCTAGTATTTGTATCTTGTGAAAGTTTTGAAAGTATTTACAAGGGTAAATTCCTTGCAGTGGCGATGAGCAGCCACTGCCAAGTTATTCTCAAAGGAAGTTGTATTTACATTCCCTCAATCAGTATATAAGGGCCTGTTTTCCTACATGGTCACCAGCTCTGGCTGTCAGACATTAACTGTTTCTTATCCCGTAGGTGAAAATGGCATCCTACTATAGTTTGGATTTGCATTTCTTCAAATATGAGTGCGATTGACCACCGTTCTAATATTCATTGGCTGCATTTATTTTTCTGTCTTCTGGCCAAGCGAACTCTTTTAAGAATTCAAGGAAGATATAATTTTGAGTATCAACATATACATATAGATAGTATTTAAAGCCATGAAAGTGAATGAATGAGATCCCCAAGGGAGTAAGTGTAGTTAGCCAACCCTGGTCTGCTCCAACATCAGAAAGTCAGGAAGATGAGGAGGAACCAGCAAAGAGACTATGAAAAGTAGTCACTGAGCAGGGAAGAAAATGAAGAAATGATAGCTTCCTGAAAGCCAAGTAAAGAAAGTTTATCAAGGAGAAAACAATAATTAGCTGATTCAAAGGCTGCTGATAGGACAAGTAACAGGATGCCAGGGAATGGCAACTGGAGAGCAAGGTGAACAGGCTCAAAGCTGGGCATCAGCATTTGCACAATAGTTTCATTCTATGGAGGGCAGAATGCAGGAGAAGCAAGCACTACAGTTTAGTTTCCATTTTATTTGTTCCCAGATCAAGTCTGATGATTATAAATCTTTTACTTAGATCTTGCTTCCTGCAAATTTGAAGTCCTCCTCTAACTACTAGTGTTATTCTGTCAAGATGACTAGTTTAAGTACTGTACTTACAGGAGTCTGTATATCTATCTCATTACCTTAAAATGCTTCAAGAAAACTCATTAGAGGGCCGGGTGCGGTGGCTCACACCTGTAATCCTAGCACTCTGAGAGGCCGAGGCGGGCTGATTGGTCGAGGTCAGGAGTTCGAAACCAGACTGAGCAAGAGTAAGACCCCATCTCTACTAGAAATAGAAAGAAATTAATTGGCCAACTAATATATAGAGAAAAAATTAGCCGGGCATGTGGTGCATGCTGTAGTCCCAGCTACTCGGAGGCTGAGGCAGCAGGATTGCTTGAGCCAGGAGTTTGAGGTTGCTGTGAGCCTAGGCTGACGCCAGGCACTCACTCTAGCCTGAGCAAACAAAGCGAACTTTGTTCAAAAAAAAAAAAAAAAAAACTCATTAGAACACAGATTTTAAATGCAACACTCTGAAGCCTCCAGACATTTAATTTAGAAGGAATTAAAGCTGTCAAGATGTACTGCATCTGGCCATTACTTCCCTCCAAGTAGTCAAGTTGGACAGGTCATGCAATGCCATTAGAGGACTTACCACAAAGGGAAACCTGTCAACTCATCCCATTAAGAGGATTGAGTATCAGACTGCTGTACCTTAAGCTTAGATTTGTGCCTAAATCAATAAAGTCCATATGTACTTCAGAAAGGTGAAAAAAAAAATGCTCCAATCCTATAAGCTTCCTATGCCCATGACCAGTTTTATGCTAAATTGATTCTGACACTTCAGGCAACTAAAAAGAGGTAACTCCAAATAATGCACTCATAGTTTTGACTGATTGCTAATCTAAACTACCACAATTGATAGACTATCCCTATACATCACCAAGGTAACCACAGAGCAGAGTCATGGTTTTACAGACTGGATAGAAGTTTATTCTTCCCAGTACTGAGATGTCAACTGTGATTCTGCTCCACAAATATAAAAACTGTAGGTAGTCTGACACTGCAGAATAGAAACCTGTTAACATAAACCAATTGATCTAACCTACCGAACATCAGCAGATCGATTGTTAATCATGTGCCTCAGAGGTGGCAAATTTTTTTCTGTACAGAGCTAGATAATAAATATTTTAGGCTTTCCAGCCACATGGTCCCACTTGTAATTATTCAACTCTGCCAGTGTAGGTCAAAAGTAGCAATAAACAATACAGAAATGAATGAGTGGGATGTGTTCCAATAAAACTATGGCCATTAAAATTTGAATTTCATGATTTTCGTGTGTAATGAAATACTATCTTTTGATTTTTTTTTTTTTGAGACACGAGTCTCGCTTTGTTGCCCAGGCTAGAGTGAGTGCCATGGCGTCACTAGCTCACAGCACTCAAACTCCTGGCTATAGCAATCTGCTGCTCACCTCGCAAGTAGCTGCTGGACTACAGCCATTCGCACCTGCCGCTAATTTTTTGTATATATATTTAAGTTGGCACAATTATATTTTTTTTTTTTTATATAAGACGGTCTCGCTTGCTTCAGGCTGGTTCGACTCCTGACCTGAGCATCCGCCCGCCTCGCCTCCAGAGAGCTAGGATTACAGGCGTGAGCCCCGTCGCCCGCCTATCTTTTGATTTTTTTCACCCATTTAAATATGTAAAAATCACTCGCAGCTGGCAGTCTAAACAAAATCAAGTGACAGGCCAAACTGGTACTGATCCATCTTCTAGACAGACAATTTGTGGTCACTGATCATGACCACATATCCAAATTTCAGTAAAGTTATCCAATAGACACAAAGAAGATTAGACGTTATTTTCATGATCCTTGTTCTGCTAGCAGTAGACGACAAATAGTTGTTATCGCCTTCTGGCGGTTTAATAGATTATCCAGGTCCCTCAGTCCCTTGCTATACCTGAAAACCAACCGATTAAATGGTATCCTGAGGTATGAGAATGCAAGGTTTCAGGAAAGGCAAGCAAGGTGGACAAAACACCTGGCAGACACTACAGAGCGCCTCCGCCTTAAGGCACCGCTGTCAAATAAGGGCTGGTAAGAGATCCAGGTTACACCTTTCAAAAATGTACTGATGTGGGCTCCAGCTCGAACAAGGCTACCATTCTAATGTAAAGACGTTAAGATGCAAGATGGTAAGTTTCCGAGCTTGGAAAACACAGCCCGTGTAATTAGCTGTTAAATAAGATTTGAAAACCCAGGCTCTCACAACTTTGCAGCCCCCTAGCGCTCCTGCTACTAACAGTGACCCGGCCAGTACGGACAGCCTTAGGACACTAGACCTGGTCAGACACACACACACATATACCCCAGTACAGACGGCCTTAGGACACTAGACCTGGTCAGACACACACACACATACCCCAGTACAGACAGCCTTAGGACACTAGACCTGGACAGACAGACACAAGACAAAAGACACACACACATACACCCCAGTACAGACAGCCTTAGGACACTAGACCTGGACTGACACAAAAAACACACACACACATCCCAGTACAGACGGCCTTAGGACACTAGACCTGGACAGACAGACACAAGACAAAAGACACACACACACACACATCCCAGTACAGACAGCCTTAGGACACTAGACCTGGACAGACACAGACAGACACAAACCCCACTTGGGGCTAGCAAAGGACCAGCCACATTTAGGAGCTGCCAGCTGCTCCGCGGGCGCTAACACCCTGCCTGACCAGAAGAGCCAGCTTTTAGGGCCCCTCTCAGGAGCCCGACCGCGCGGAAAACCTCCCATGGCCAGCAGGGAGAGCAGAGTGAGAAAGGATAAGCAGAGGCCACAAGGGAAGAAAACCGCGCTCTTCACCCAATGCCCCCCGCGGGCTGCTCAGACAACTGAGCACCCCGTGACGCAGACGAGCGCCTCCCACGCACTTTACAGAACAGGCCCCCAGAGTCTCGCGGGATCTCGCTGTTCTCAGAAGCTCAGGGAATTACACAACACGCGGCAGTTCCCGCGAGGATACAAAGGGAGGCCGCGGCAGCTGGCAGGCGCCGCGAGAGCGTCAGGTGACCTCACGGCTCCGCCCACGCCTTCCCCGCGCCCGCCTCTCGCATGCGCAGGCGGCGTCTGCGAGGTGGCGGGGAGCGCGGGCGGCTGGCGCGATGGGGCTGAGCCGCGTGCGGGCGGTTTTCTTTGACCTGGACAACACGCTCATCGACACGGCCGGGGCGAGCAGGAGAGGCATGTTGGAGGTAACGTCCCCTCTCCCGCGGCCCTCCTCCGGGCTCCGTCAGCACGGCCCGCCCGTGCCGCGCGCTTCGCGTCCCCCACTCGCGCGCCTCGGACCCCGGAGGCACTGGCCGCTCGAGTGCCCCGAGGCCTCGGGAGCGTCCAGGTGCGGGAAGGGGCGGGAAACGGGCGAGTGGACTAGGGAGCGCGGGCGGGGGAGGCTGCGGCCCCGGTCCCGGAGCCTCAGCTCACCTGCGGAGCTAGCGGGCTCTGGGAGGTGGCTTCTGCAGATCCTCCTGCGCTTGGAACCCGGAAGGTCCTTAAAGCTGCCACGGTGGAAGAGCTGCACACACGCACAGGTAGACCGTCACACCGTGGCACGAGAACCGGCGCTGGGCCGGGACAGCTTTGGACCGGCCGGTACGAGTGCTCTGGGTGTCGGACTCGTGGGAGGGTCGTCTCCCCACCGCGTGGTCCCGGTGGCTCTTTGAGGAGACTTGGAAGGGTTAGCCCCAGTTTTGACCCAAGCTGTGACACAACCATCAGTGGCGAGCTTGGACTTAAACGCTGCTTTAGAGAATTTTCTCAGTAGAACTCCCTCTGGCCTCCCTGGTGTGGCTGGGACCCTCAGTGTCTTTCCGAGGTAACACGGCAGAAGTCCGTGCTACACAGGGTATGCCTTCCGTGAGGCGTTGCTCAGCAGCCTCTTCTCCTTTCTCTACCTGTGGATGCTGTTTGAGACCTTTCCCATGCTTCTCAAGCCCCTAATCCATCCCGCTTCCCTTCCTCTGCCTTCAGCCTTCAGGAGAAAATGAAAGACTTACCAGATGTGAAAAACTCCACTTTCTTTTTAAGTTTATTTATTTTTTAATTTCAGTAGATTTGGGAGGTACAAGTGGTTTTTTTGATACGTGAATGAATTCTGTAGTGCTGGATTCAGGGCTTTTAGTGTAGCCATCACCCATATAGTGTACATTGTACCTGAGAGGTAATTTTTGATCCCTCACCCCTCTACCAGAAAAGCTCAGCTTTCAAAAGCTAATCCTTCTACCCCTGAGTGTCCATCCTTCTTATGCTTCATCAATTAATTTTTGTCTCCTTGGATCTTCCACCTCTTTTTCTTTCATACTATTTTTTGGGGGTGCATTCCTTTTCTGCTTCATATTCATATTTGTCCCATATTTTTAAAAAATTAAAAAGACTGTCTCCCCTGGACTCTTCTTACTGCACAAGATGTTGCCTGTCTTTCCTGAGAGCCATGTCTTTCAGGAGAAACCTATACCCATTATTTCCTTGTTCTCTATCTCCTATTTATTTCTAAATCCATCGCAGTTTGACTCTGTCTTCACCACTAGAATGAAATAAACTTGGGTGGTCTGTAGGCACCTCCCAAATTGCCAAAATCAGTGGACATTTTAAGTTTGTGTTTATGACCTTACTGAGGTGTTCCGCACTTTCGACTGTCCTTTCCATCTTCATGCCCTTGACCTCGACTCACGGCCACCACCCTGTGCTATGTTGCCTGCAGTAGCACTAGCACCCAACAGTACATGTTTGCCTGGGTGCTTTTAGTAAGCTAAGCACAGTGTGTTAGTATTAAATTCTTGCTTTGGACCAAGAGTTCAGGCTTTAAAATTAGACATTTGGAGTTTGAATCACTGCTCTCCCGAAAACCTAGCTGGAAGTACCTAGCTGAAAGCCCCTTAATAAGTTCCTTAGCCACGCTAAGCCTTAAGTCCTCATAAAATTTGAATAATGGTATTAGTCCTCAGTAATGTTATCAGGTAGGTTTAATATAGTTTCTTTTTTGTTTGGTTTATTGGTTGAGGTTTCTTGCCTTGTTGTTGTTGTTGCTGTTTGTTTTGAGACAGGGTCTCACTCTGTCACCTAGACTGGAGTATAGTGGCACTATCATAGCTCACTGTAACCTTGAACTCCTGGGCTTAAGCAATCCCCGGGCATCAGCCTCCCAAAGAGCTGGGATTACAGGCTCATGCCACCCACACCCAGCCTAGGTTTAATATGTTGCTAGGAAAGTACATTCGTCCAGTGTTCACTCAGTGACTCATACCACCTTCTATCCTACTGCTGAGGACATTTATCCTGCCCACCGGGTGTTTTTGCTGCCGCTGCCTGTCCTGCTTAGCAGCCAACTCGTCGGGGCCCACGATGGCCCTCCAACGGTCTGAGGGACAGTGAACTGGCCCCCTGTTTATTTTTATTTTATTTTTTTTGAGACAGAGTCTCGCTTTGTTGTCCAGGCTAGAGTGAGTGCTGTGGCGTCAGCCTAGCTCTCAGCAACCTCAAACTCCTAGGCTCAAGCAATCCTGCCTCAGCCTCCAGAGTAGCTGTGTCTACAGGCATGCGCCACCATGCCTGGCTAATTTTTTCTATATATATTTTTAGTTGTCCAATTAATTTCTTTCTATTTTTAGTAGAGATGGGATCTTGCTCAGGCTGGTTTCGAACTCCTGACCTTGAGCAATCCGCCCGCCTTGGCCTCCCAGAGTGCTAGGATTACAGGCGTGAGCCACCACACCCAGCCTGGCCCCCTGTTTAAAAGTTTGAGGATCCCTGCCCTAGTCTGTCCTGCATTGCACATCCCGGCACTCATGTCTCAGTTTCAGCTGCACTCATCTCACTTAGACTGCTGCTGTGGTCTTATCTCCAGGTATACCACATCAGGATCATCCTCCACACTCCTGCCACAGTGAGACAGTGATATTTCTAAAACAAAAATTAGATTGTGTTTCTTCCTGTTCTTTACACTCTCTCTTACACCAGTGCTGTATTTTGTTCAGATATTTCTTAATGCACCTATTAAAGGATATTACAATTAGTTTTTACAACCAAATAGCTTCTTGGGAGAGAACAAGCTATGTTAACTATCTTTGTTTGACACATAGTAAATGTTGAATGACTGCTGGATGGATGGATAAAAATTCTTATTTTCAGACTAGGTTCTTTTACTGCCTCCTTTGTAAATAGCCTATAAATGAGCAGAATGGAACTGTGTGCTTTTGACTATACAAGGAGCACTTTATCACATAAGGATACATCATCAGTCATAAATGTTGACCTGTTCAAAGGTAATGTGCCAGCTTTCATAAGTCTTTTTTTTTTTTATTCTGAGACAGAGTTTCACTTTGTTGCCCAGTCTAGAGTGAGTGCCGTGGCGTCAGCCTAGCTCACAGCAACCTCAAACTCCTGGGCTCAAGCGATCCTCCTGCCTCAGCCTCCTGAGTAGCTGGGACTACAGGCATGCGCCACCATGCCTGGCTAATTTTCTTTTTTTTTTGTATATATATATTTTAGTGTCAATTAATCTTTCTATTTTAGTAGGATGGGCTCACTCAGGCTGGTTTTGAACTCCTGACCTCGAGCAATCCACCTGCCTCGGCCTCCCAGAGTGCTAGGATTACAGGCGTGAGCCACCAGGCCTGGCCTCATAAGTCATTTTGAATGGTTTATGAATGGAGAAATGGGATAAAGTTCAGCCATTGCCTTAGGCTTGGGGAGAAGAAGATCATATACTGAGTGTATATGTCAACGTTAATTTTTTTTTTTTAATCACCTGGGAACATTATTTCTTTCCTCCCTCTTCAGGCCTGTCTTTCATTGTCACTACTCAAGAGGAAGTCTTCTGCAGAAACTTTTGAGTTTCTCAGTGAACAAAGCAGAAAAGATTTCTGAGCTAAGCATGGTGGTGCGTGCCTATAATCCCAGCTACTCAGTAGGCTGAGGTGGGAAGATGGCTTAAGCCTAAAAAAAAAAAAAAAAAAAAAAAAAAGATTCAAGACCAGCCTGAGCAACACAGACTCAAAAAAAAAAAAGATTTCTACATTTGTGAGTTTACTTCTTAGTGGGGAAGACAGTAATAAATCAAATATGCTTATATTTATAGGTGTGTTAGAAGAAGTAGGGGGAATAAAGTACAATTTTAAATAGATTGGTCAAATTTGGCCTCATTGAGTAGGTGATGTTTGAGCACAGATTTCTTTCTCTCTCTCTCTCTCTCTCTTCTCTCTCTCCTCTCTCTCTCTCCTCTCCTCTCTCTCTCTCTCGTTTTTTTTTTTTTTTTTTTTGAGACAGAGTCAAACTCTGTTCCCTTGGCTCGAGTGCTGTGGCATCAGCCTAGCTCACAGCAACCTCATACTCCTGGGCTCAAGCTATCCTTCTGCCTTAGCCTCTCGAGTAGCTGAGACTACAGGTATGTGCCACCATGCCCTGGTAATTTTTTCTATATATTTTTAGCTGGCCAATTAATTTGTTTCTATTTTTAGTAGAGACGAGGTCTCGCTGTTGCTCAGGTTGGTTTCGAACTCCTGACCTTGGGCAATCTGCCCGCCTCGGCCTCCCAGAGTGCTAGGATTACAGGCATGAGCCACCGCACCCTGCCACTCTTTTTTTAAGAGATGGTGTCTCACTCTGTCTCCCAGCCTGGAATGCAGTGGTGTGATCACTGCACCTTGAATTCCTGTGCTCAAGTGATCCTCCCACCTCAGCCTCTAGATGGGACTACAGGCATGTGCCAGCATACCTGGCTTTTTTGTTCTTTTTCTGTGTATCTATAGGGTTGCTGAAACTTTATAGAGTGCCTGTCAGTCATAGATAGCTTAAGAGTCATTCAATTGATGTTGTTAGAAAAAAATGATGACATAACCATGAAGCTCTCAAAAACTTGATTTAATTGAAATTTAACTTTATGAAGCAAAAAATTTCAGTGCTTTGCTTCCACCTAAAATTCTTAAGATTTTTCTTAACTATTATTACATTTTCTGATTAGCACAAATAGTCCAAAAAATATTTCCCTTTGCTTTGTTGTAAGTGATTCTTATACTCTGAGGGAAGAAGAATGTGTGCATTTATCTCTTTCTCCTTCTTAGTAGGTGAGTTTCTGGCATGAGTAGCATACTGCTGATACCCCATATAGTTTGTGGCAACACATTTTTGCTTGTCTGACTGCTTTGCTTCAACAGTACACATTTTTTAGTCCTGGCCATATGCATTGTGCTCATCTCCAAAGATCCAGCTTTGCCTGGCATGGTTGGCTTTCCTTGGGTGCACACTAGGACAGGGACTTCAAGTGCAGGGTTCATTTGGGAGGTGTTCCTAAGAACCACTGCAGGGGGTGGGAAGCTGAGACTGGGAGGGGAAGGAACCTAACACAGGGTGTGTCCACAAGCAAGTTACTGGTGGGAGCAGTTGAGGGTCCCTGGGAGACAGTACACAGAACAGGGTTCAGGTGTCCCCTGTAAGGGGCAAGAAAGCTCTGATATTTATCCATCAGTTTCCACCCTTAATTGGTTGAGGGCTGCTCCAAGGCAACACTTTCAGCCCCAGTCTGTGCTCTAGTGCCCTTGTGGCCAAATAACACCCACCAGCAGAGAGGCCCACACTTGCAGTATGAAGCCACTGGTGTGTGTGGGAATAGTGTGTGTGCCAAGGGAGTTGGGATCTGCTACAGCGTGAGGTTCCAGGCCTTTTACAAACTGGTTCCAGACAGGCTCTGCAGCCTTATCCTAGCCTCCTGCCTCACGGGCCTCCATTTGACTCAACTCAGCTGCTTTTTCCAGTTCACAAAATGTCAAGCTCTTTGTCTTTGTTCATGTTGTTCTTTCTGTCTGGAATGATTTTATTCTACTCTCATCCCCACCTTTTCTGCTTGTTAATTTCTTAGTTCAAATGTAACTTCCTCTGCCAACCCTTATCCAACTACCCTATGGGATGACTTCCACTTTATTCCCACAGCTTGTGCACACAGCTATTGTGGCACTACCCCAGCATTTGTGGATTTGTGGTTGGGGAGCTGCATGTTTTCCCCACCAGATAATGCCCCAGTACAAGGGCCAGTCTCCAATGCCTTAGAATACTTCATTCTCTTGAGGGATTCACAATCAGCATGACAAGAAGGGTGACTCAGAACTACTTGAACTCTTATCCAAAGAACTAGTTTTTAAAAGTACAGAATTGGGTTCCGTTTTATGTGATGGTCGATATGGGTCTTCAAAATATGAACTGGATTTAGCAAATGAGAAAAGGTTAGATGAACTAGTGTTATTTTTTCTGGGGAGAGTAAATGATGGTTGTCAGAAATTTAAAATGTTTTACCAAACAAGTTTTGTTTTCATGTTTCATAACAGGAATAAAAAATGTTGTACTTTAAACTACCAAGAAGGATTGTTATTAGCTATGTAGGAAGAATCTTCTTAGATTGGACATTGATTTTAGGGCACACTGGCTCATGCCTGTAATCCTAGCACTCTGGGAAGCCATGGCAGGGGGATCGCTTGAGGCCAGGAGTTCGAGACCTGCCTGAGCAAAATCGAGAGCCTGTCTCTACCAAAATACAAAAAATTAGCCGGGCTTGGTGGTGCACGCCTATAGTCCCAGTTACTCGGGAGGGTGAGGCAGGATTTCTTGAACCCAGGAGTTTGACGTTGCAGTGAGCTATGATGACTCCACTGCACTCTAGCCCAGGCAACAGAAGGAGACTCTGTCTCAAAAGAAAAAAGAAATGAAACTGATTTTTAAAATGTGAATGAATTATCTAGAGAGGTTGGGAGAACTTCACTCTGTGTCTCTGAACTCCAGAAATGGTGTGGTGAATAGAGCTGCTTCAGGGCAGGGGAGTGGAGTTTGAATCTCTCAGCCACCTATAGGATCACAGCTTCCTAGGACATGACTAAAGACATGAAGTATGTTAATGGATTTATTTCCCTTTATTTAGGTGATAAAGCTCTTACAGTCAAAATACCATTATAAAGAAGAGGCTGAAGTCATCTGTGATAAAGTTCAAGTTAAACTCAGCAAGGAATGTTTTCATCCTTACAATACATGCATTACTGACCTAAGGACTGCACACTGGGAAGAAGCAATCCAGGAAACAAAAGGTGGTGCAGCCAATAGGGAATTGGCTGAAGAATGTTATTTCCTGTGGAAATCTACACGTTTACAGCATATGACACTAGCAGAAGACATCAAAGCCATGCTCACTGAACTTCGAAAGGAGGTCCGCCTACTTTTATTAACGAATGGGGACAGACAGACCCAGAGGGAGAAGATTGAAGCTTGTGCCTGTCAGTCCTATTTTGATGCCGTTGTCATAGGTGGAGAGCAGAGAGAGGAGAAGCCAGCACCGTCCATATTTTATTACTGCTGCAATCTCCTCGGGGTACAGCCTGGGGACTGTGTGATGGTCGGTGACACATTAGAAACCGACATACAAGGAGGCCTCAATGCAGGGCTGAAAGCAACAGTCTGGATCAATAAAAATGGAATTGTGCCGCTGAAGTCCTCCCCTGTTCCACATTATATAGTTTCTTCTGTGCTAGAGTTACCTGCTCTCTTAGAAAATATAGACCGCAAAGTCAGTATTTCTACTTAAAGCGCATAAAAGGGCCTGATTATGAATGTTAGCATCAACTTGCAGAGTTTGAACTAAGCAAAGTTAGGGCATTCCACTTACTATGGTCCAGTTCTAAGAATAATTTTATTTATGATTTAGTAGCCAGTATTCTGAAGGTCCTCCCAACCTATGGCTTTTAAGTTTTGACAACCAACCATTGACTGGTATTTAAATCTGAAAATTCAGATTGCATTAATACAAATCAATAATGTAGCCCAGAAAACTTGAAGAAATGTATTATTTGTTAGTCTGTGACTAGAGATTTTTAAAAACTATTTCATTGATCTTTTAGTATCTTAGCTTCATGATACCAAGCAGGATAGTTTACATGTGGATGCACAAATGTAAGTTTTACGTTCTGGCTGGAAAACATATTTTTTTAAAATAGATATTCTAAAGCATAATAGAGATTTATTAGAACAATTGGATCTCGTTAGTATGAAATAGGTACTAAGTCACATGCAAATCAAGGCATTTCGTAGTGAAAATATTTTGCATGTTTTGATTTTTCAAACCATATTTTTATCTACTTTGGATGTATACTTTTCTATTAGGAATCTGATTTTTCTGCATAGCCTTTTTGGGGGGGGATCTGGGGCAATTTTTCTGTGGTGTATATATGACAAATGGTCCTCCAGTTAAAAAAAACTGTTAAAATCAACATGTGGTGCTCCTTTACCATGGCATTTTCACCCTTTCCATGGTGAGCTTGTAGCTTCCTTGTAGTCTTTACCTCTTGTGGAAATATTTTGACTGTCTTCTCCCAGACACAAAATGGGGTTGAGGGAACTACCCTGTCTTGCTGGGGATAACTACAAGCCACATGGCACCAAAAGTCGTTTTCCTCCTGTGGGACCCATAAGAGGACAGTTGCCTCCGTGTGGCCAACCCGTGTAGCCCCCTATCTGTTTTCTGCTGATTCAGTAGTTTCACCTGTGTGATGAGCCTAATAGAAAATTAGGTTTTGCTATGAGCCATTACCAGGGTGCCATTTTGGTACTTGAGTGACTTTTCTTGGAGTCACTATCTGCCTTACGTCTCCTGTTTTTCACATTTTTTGCCAATTTGTATATCAAATTCAGGGTTCACTTGGAGCTTAATAATGGCTCCATAGCAAGGTATCATCTTGCAACCAGAAAATTTTCCCTAGACCATTAGGCTACATAGTCTCATGATTATACTAACCAACCTTGAAGTAAAGTCATTAAGGGATAAAAGTGGTTATTAAAGTGGCAAATAAAGGAAGTGTGATTTGGGTTTTTTGGTAGGTTTTTTTTAAAAAAAAACTTGTATAAGAAACTACTAATGTAAAATGTCAGACTATGTTGAGTATGTATAGCTATGTCTTCAAGATTTATACTTGGAATCAAATTCTAGATTGTACCTTCTATGAACCTATTTCTTTAGCCAGTTGTTTGCTGTCTACTACTAAGAAACAGGAGTCTGTGCCTTGTGCAAATGCCCTTTTGTGTTTACTGCTTAGTTTTGGTTTTTAAAAATGTGATTGTGCCCTTGACTGTCCCAGGGTGCTCTTGTTATAAAACTGAATATTGGTGGACAGGGTATGTTCGTAGTTCCAGGTATGTCCCCATATGTATACCTTGATTATATTTTAGCTATTTAAAAATTAAGTTGGAGGATTTTGCCAAAAGTAATTGTGTGTGATTTCTCTAGTAGGTTGATTGGCGTGTGATGCTAAGGGTTTGTTCTTTTAGCTATCCCACAGGATGGGTGTAGGCAGCGTCACATTCATTATGCTAACTGGTAAAGGTTTGCTGCTCCTACATCATGGTGGCAAATCTCAACAAGACAGTTCCCAGGATGTGAAGTGAGCAGTTCTTCAGCAAAAATGATCTAGGAGGAAAAAATGGAATCATTGAATTTTCTTGTCTTCACAGTTTGTATTCTATATAGTACAGTAATGCAATATTACATTCCATTTGCACCCTTCCTTAGGGAAGAACTTTGTGGTTTTCTACCTTCTGAGTGGAATGTTACAGAAGATATTTTAAAATATTGGAATAAACCTATGATATTAGTAATAATATTTTTGTCTTAGAATAATATTCTTTAAAATTAAAACATGTTGTAACAGTGATATTTCGTCATCTTTATTTTTTTCAAAGTTTCCCCATAGTGGCATGCTATACGAAGCTGGAGCCTCCCTAACACTGTAGTTACAGAGGAGGGGGCACTGTACCTGGAACGCTGACACCAGAGGGGTGTGTTCTCACTCTGTGTACACACATCCACCCACTAGTTCACACACATCTTAGATCTGGGAGTGCCCAAGACGCAGTGGAGGCTCAGTGAGTATTGCAGGAAAGCAGGGTTTCACAATTACAGAATTACTTGGTTTACCACTTTCAAACTTCATTGCAACCTACAGTAAGAAATAGTTTCCATCATAACCCTTTAAACATTTATAGTGAACATTAATATATGTGTATTAAATAGTTTTATATATTTACTTTTTCATGAAACTATCCCTCACTGTGTATGACGCTCAGATCTTTTTAATTCCATTCTTTTAATTCATTTTTGAACACTTAATACGATGAGTGGTGAAAAGTCAGTCTCCTTATCTTTCTCCTAAGGAACCACAACCCACCTGCCCTAAAGACTGCTGCTGCTAGCAGCTTCCTGTATGTCTACATATATATAGAAGTATGTGAGACTATATAGAATTCAGGGAGATTTTTTATTTCTGCATTTCAGTTTTAGAAAACAATTCTCTTGCTAAGATAATACTTGAAAGAGAGTCATGAAGCTTTTGTTTAAACCACTTGTGTGGGAGCATAACATCCTTATGGTCTCAGCCCTATACACGAGACCCCTGTGACTCCCGTCAGTAAATGTGATGATTCCATTGACTTTCCCTACACCTGTTGGTTCACCGTGAGGGCAAAGTCGGTGCAGCTGTGGAGCCCCAGCCCCCCGTCCGGCCTGGGCTAGTTGCCCTCATTAGCTGGTGCATATCACCATCCTGGTGATTCCTTTTGCTCCTTATGCCAGATTTCCTGTGTTCTGTGTCCTGTGTGTTCCCATCTTCAATTGGTGCCCTCTTTTTGTTGGCATATACCCCCTTGAGTACATTCCCTATACGTGTGTGAGTGGTAGAAGTTTTGAGATCATAAGTGTCTGAAAATGTCTTTATTGTCTTCTCCCATTAATAGTTTAATAGCATGTATTGAGTGTCATTCAGAATTTTAAAGGCATTGGCCTATGGTCTTCTAGCAGCCCTTTCTTTATATTATATGTGGCCAGTGTCTTTTCTTCTCTTGTAACTCTTAGAACCTTATTATTCCTCCAGTGGTTCATGAGGTTGTGCCTTGGTGAGGGTATGTTTCCACCCTGTGTGCTTGGAACTCTGAAAACCCTTTCAATCAAAATCTTTTAGTCCTGGGGGATGTAATGATTTCACTGATATAATAATTGCCTCCCTCTGTTTTTTGTTTTCCTGATTTCTCTTTCTGGAACCCCTACTGTTGAGTTAGAGGTCCTACTGACCTTCCCTTTTATTTTATTCTGTCCTATTTTTCCATCTCTGTTACTTTGTCTTCCATTCTTTCTTTGATTTTTCCCCCCTACTATCATATTTTTTAATTTACAAGAGGTTTTTAAATTTTTTTCTGAAGGTTGCTTTTTAAATAACATGTTTTTCTTTTATGAATGGAATATCATCTCTCAAAAAGAATTTTAAGTTTTTGAAGAATCCACAGAATCCAGAGTTCTTCCAAGTTTCTCTAATCTGTTTATTTTGGTCTATATATTCATATTAGAGGCTTTCCTTAAATGCCCATTAACCAGTTATTCATGATTAAGACGGGAGAGATGAAAATGCTGATTGGAATCTCTGCATAAGTACATGGACTCAGAGGTTCTTTTACTATGGAGTATCTGAGTGGGCTGTTAGTTGAGGGACCCCTGAGGTCAATGTCTTAAGGTCTTTTTCTTGTTTTGTCTGGTTTCCTAGAGAAAAATCTCCCAGACTGCAGAATAGAGGGGTCTAGTGTTAGCACGAAGGAGCTGAGTGGGGAGGGAGTGGGAACTGTGGTATGCAGATGGTCACCTAATCTCTGTGTTTCTGGTTATACCTGAGCCCAACTATGCCAGCCTCTTTCTTACCCTCTCGAGCAGCATCCCAATGTCTGTTGAATGAGGACATGAGGTTGCAGTGGGGACAGGGATCCATTTGCATCTCGAACACCTTTTACCCCATCCTGCTTAGTTCAGAGGCCTCTTCCTTTGGGACAACGGCAGCATCTGGTGGTGTCAGTACCTGCATCTTTGGAGGAATCTGCTGCGTAACTCATCACTTCTCAGTCTTCCCCACTGCTGGCCTAGACTTAGCTTTCGTTAGGTCTTCAATCCTTTGCCACTTGTCCATATGCTTTCCAGCTTCCAAAATTTTGTGTGACTGATGCCTATTTTCCTGGTTGTTGTGAGTTTGTGTGTGTGTATTTGTATATTTAAATTCCTTTACTGCAGGTTTAGCTGAGTTTGGAGTAGAAGCTATCAGATGTGTACTTCCATCTACCACCTTGATGTGGAAGCTCTCCTGTTTTGTGTTCCATGTTGGTCAAGACTGACAAACTGATCCTTGCCCAAATAGTCACCTCCCAGAGCTTCAGAGATGGTCATTTGAGGTGGAAATGTACAACATGCCTGCACTTATTTTTCTTTTAATTTTGTTTTGAATTATGCAACTTTCTTTTTCTCATTAAGCTCTTTGGCTTAACTCTCATGATGGTGGGTCTCCTTATCATCCTGTGTTTTTGAATTTTCAACATTGCTTGGGCATAGATGTTTATTTTGATTGACGTGCTTGCACAATCTGACTCAATAGAACAGGGTCTTTAACCAACATCAATAACTGTGTTCCTATAATCACTTTTTTTTTTTTTTGAGACAGAGTCTCACTTTGTTGCCCAGGCTACAGTGAGTGCCGTGGCATCTGCCTAGCTCACAGCAACCTCAAACTCCTGGGCTCCAGCAATCCTGCTGCCTCAGCCTCCGGAGTAGCTGGGACTACAGGCATGCACCACCATGCCCGGCTAATTTTTTTTTCTATATATTAGTTGGCCAATTAATTTCTTTCTAATTTTAGTAGAGATGGGGTCTCGCTCTTGCTCAGGCTGGTTTCGAACTCCTGACCTTGAACAATCCTCCCGCCTCGGCCTCTCAGAGTGCTAGGATTGCAGGCGTGAGCCACTGCGCCCAGCCCTCCTATAATCACTTTTAAGACAGTTATACTTTCTTAGATTTCTTTATAATTATAATCTTTCTGACTGGGATACATTAGATTTCTACTTTTGTTTCTTTTTTATTTTTTGGATTTATACTTTTAAAAAATTAACTTACTGCTGGCGATAGAACTAAACCTTAGCCAGAATACAACTGTATTTTTTAAAACCAGTCTTCATGTATGGCATATACAATAATCCAATTATTTCCACTGGATTTCTTGGAAGGTGTCATTGTGATTTATTCCTGGGAAGTCAGCCTGATAAGATCAACTCTGAAAAGTCACAGAAGATAAAATAGCGTCAGCTACCAGACAAGTAAGGAAATGCTAAATCAATACTCTAAATAGTTCCTATTTAAAATCATAGTTTTTTTTTTTTTTTTTGAGACAGAGTCTCGCTTTGTTCCCCAGGCTAGAGTGAGTGCCATGGCGTCAGCCTAGCTCACAGCAACCTCAATCTCCTAGGCTCAAGCGATTCTGCTGCCTCAGCCTCCCAGCTGGGTCTACAGGCATGCGCCACCATGCCTAGCTAATTTTTTCTATAAATATTAGTTGGCCAATTAATTTCTTTCTGTTTATTAGAGATGGGGTCTCACTCTAGTTCAGGCTGGTTTCAAACTCCTGACCTGGTTTCAAACTCCTCGAGCAATCTGCCTGCCTTGGCCTCCCAGAGTGCTAGGATTGCAGGCATGAGCCACCGTGCCAGGCCTAAAATCATAGTTTTTAATTCTTTTCTTTTTGTTTTTGAGACAGATTTCACTCTCTTGCCCAGGCTGGAGGGCAGTGGTATAATCACAGCCCACTGCAACCTCAAAGTCCTAGGCTCAAGTGATCTTCCTACCTCAGCCTCCCAAGTAGCTGGGACTATAGGCATGTATCATCACACCTGGCTATTTAAAAAAATTTTTTGTAGAGATGGGGTCTTGCTTTGTTGCATAGGCTGATCTTGAACTCCCAGCCTCAAGAGAACCTCTCACCTCAGCCTCCCAAAGTGCTGGGATTACAGGCATGAGCCACTGCACCCCAGCCAATAGTTTTGAATTCTTTTTTTTTTTTTTTTTTTGAGACAGAGTCTCTCTCTGTTGCCTGGGCTGGAATGCCATGGCATCAGCCTAGCTCACAGCAACCTCAAACTCCTGGGCTCAAGCAATCCTGCTGCCTCAGCCTCCCGAGTAGCTGGGACTATAGGCATGCACCACCATGCCCGGCTCATTTTTTTTGTTCTATAGTTATTAGTTGGCCAATTAATTTCTTTCTATTTATAGTAGAGATGGGGTCTCGCTCTTGCTCAGGCTGGTTTTGAACTCCTGACCTTGAGCAATCCGCCCACCTCGGCCTCCCAGAGTGCTAGGATTACAGGCGTGAGCCACCATGCCCGGCCTTGAATTCTTAAAGGAATTATATTGATCATTTTATTGAAGCTTAGAGCAAATCAGCCAGTTTAGATTCCAAGGTATGTGTCCTCAGCCTATTTGCATCTCTGCTCAGATGTCTAATAGGCATCACCATCCTAACTGGCCCAAATGAAACTCCTGGATTTCTCTACTAAGTCTGTTCTGCAGTCTTCCACATCATCTCCTTCTTGACAGCAGGAACTTTGTTTTGTTCTCCTCTGTCTCCTGCACTTGGAATGATCCTGGCCCATGGTAGGTACTCAGTGAATATTTGTTGGGTGAAGGAGTGATTGACTATTTCTATAGAAGTTATTTAAAATTAAACAAATTCTTACTTCACCTCAACAAAGGGTCACTCATCAACTAGTTGGTTTTTCTTAAAATTTTACTTTTTCGTTTTTTT